TTTAACTTTGCGATTTATGAAGCATAAAACGAAGATATTTCTAAGATATAAAGAAAGGCCATGTTCTTTGCTACAGAATCATATGTGTTTTATTCCAGTAGCATCGATATCCGCAGAGTTATTCTAGTTTAAAGAAAAACATCTATGAAAAAATTGTTAAAAAATTTTCGTATAATTTTCACAAATATTTTTCTTTAAACTAGAATAACTCACTAAATATCGATGCTACCGGGATGAAACAAATATCATTTTGTAGTCAAGAACATGGCCTTTTCTTCTATCTTAGAAATATCTTAGTAGAAAATCGCTCTAAGCTTCGAAAATCGCAAGCGAAGTAAAAAAGTTTTTTAAAAAATATGAAAATCTCCAGAAATTTTTATATTTATTCAAATTTACTTACAATTTGTGAAGCATAGAGCGACTTTCTACTAATATATTTATAAGATAAAAAGAAAGGCCTTGTCCTTAGCTACAAAAATGATATGTGTTTCATCTTGATATAATCGATTTCGTAAAGTTATTCTAGTTTAAAGAAAAATATCTATGAAAAAATTAAGAAAAATCTTTATATTTTAAGAATATCTGAAAAATATTAAATTTTAAAATATTAAGTTAATATACTTAAAATTTTTATTAAGAATATTTTAAGTATACTTAAGTATATTTTAAGTATGTTTAAATATGTTTTAAGTTTATAATTTTAAATATAAAATAAAATTTTAAGTATATTTTAGGAATATTTTAAGAATATCAATATATAATTTGAAAATGAAATTTTCTTAAATTTTCAAATAGTAAAAAGATTTTAAGTATATTTTAGATACATCAAATATGTTTTAAATATGTTTCAAGTATGTTTTAAGTATGTATACTTCTTATAGGGCAAGCTGAGTCAAGTTTCAGCTTGAGTTTTTAAAAGCTCGCAAGCCACTATAAAGTTCGCGAGTTACTATTAAAACTTGCGAGCCACTATAAAGCTCGCAAGCCACTATAAAGCTCGTGAGTCACTATTAAAACTCGCGAGTCACTATAAAACTCGCGAGCCACTATAAAGCTCGCGAGTCACTATAAAGCTTGCGAGCCACTATAAAGCTCATGAGTCACTATAAAGCTTGCGAGTCATTATAAAGCTCGCGAGTTATTATAAAGCTCACAAGCCACAAGCTGAGCTGAGCTGAACTGAGTTTTATTATATAAACTCAGCTTGGCTCGAGCTTAATTATTGAATTTAAAACTTGGCTCGAGTCAAATTTAATTTTTGAACTTGAACCAAGTTTTACAGGACTTGACTTGACTCGGCTCATTAGGAACTTTATATACACCAACCTGCAAAGTGTCCGGGCAGCTGTTTTTTAACAAATTTTTTAATAAATTTTAAGAACAAATTGTGACACAATGAATGACTTAAATTGTATAAACTTTTTTTAAAAGAATTTCCTGGTCTTAGGCTATCATATGATATTTTAATTATTAAAATTGAACACTTGCTCGTACAGAAATTTTATTTTAAATGAAACTAATCAAAAATATCTAATTGAATTATTAATCGTAATGTCTCTTGATTCCAATAACCACTTATCAAAAGTATCAACTATCTTATATAGACTTGTAGCCCAGATCAAGAGCTACAACTATATATGTTGCCAAAATTCAAATTGCTAAATCCCAAATCCCAAATCCAAATTCCAAATTCCAAATCTCAAATTACTAATTGTCAAAATTCCAAATTCCAAATTATGCCAAATTCCAAATCCCAAATACTATGAAAACTGAATTTTGCCAAATTTTCAAATTTTATTTGTCAATAGTTTTGATGTATGTATAACATAGACGCAATTAAATTTCAGTAGTTAAGTCAAAATACTACAAATTACTTTGACACTTTGTTGTTCGTGATCTCTTTGTTAGTTTCAACTAGGGATAGTAGGTGCAATACGAATTAAACCAGAAATTTAACCAGATATAATTTAGCCAATTGAGTCCAGAAATTAGCCACAGTGAAATCTGGTGCAATGGTTAAATTCTGGTGCAAAGGATAAAATAATCTTGTGGTATCACTTATCCAATAATGCCTTAATTATTTTTCATATATGGTTGTCGTATGTTTATTGGTTACTGTAATTAATATTGGTTACTATAAAATATTATATTTCATATAGCAAAAATTATGAAAATATTTATAATATTTGGTTAACACCAAACTCCTAATAATAGTGATCTTGTGACACAATATTCTGTTTAAACTTGGTAAGGCTAGTATTTACATATCTTATAAATTTAGCAAAGTTACATTTCGGTGTAAAATCCTTTTTATCGTACATTCGCTAACATTAATTTTTTAATAATTTTACTTTTAATTTAGGCAGAAACAAAATATTCCTATTCTTTAAAATAATTAAAATTCGGGGACTTTTTTTTTTTAGTAACAAAATTATTTTTCTTTTATTTGTTTTATGATAAATTTTGACACCAACAAAATATTTCTTTTATTTTCGTTCTTTTATTCCTTTATAATTTCAATATCAAAATTAATAAAATAGTAATTAAATCAGTGTAACGGAATAACAATAGTGGTAAGATACGTCAAAGCTGTAATCGCTATTGTCCAATTCCATCAAAACTTTAATAAAATATAATAAACTTCTTTTATATTTCTTGGCAAAGTTATATCATAAAGTCTGTTTTCGGAAGTGTGCAAGTAGTTGTTAAAGATACTTTTACTCCACTTGCTCATCGTGCCTTCAGATTGAACACGCAATCATATTAATAGTGACTGTTAGTAAGCAGGTTTAGATCGACTGATTGCCTGATCTTACTACGTCTTGAGGATAAAAAGTGTTATTAGGAAATATTTTATTGTGTAATGACTTTGAGACTGATCGGCGTAACCTTGCTGCATCGTTCGTGACAGTACATAATACAAAATTTTATCATCTGATATTTGATTTGTTCATCGAAATTCTTTTATTACTGAAACTCTGAGTTCAATATTACATGTTGACGTGACGAATTTTATTGTTGCAATTTTATTTTTTGAATAAAAAAAAACTTTATAGTATCCCTACAACAACTATTCGTAAGTTTGCTTGAAATTGTGGAGATATTACTTTGATGTTAAATAATCATATTACTATTAAATTTTGAAAGGGACTATTATTGGGAGTTTGGCGCCAACTTTTTAAATGCATCCTCTATAATTTCATTTTCTCTATTATTATAAATGTTTCTTAAATTCAAATTTGAATTTATAATAAAATCAAACTAATCTAAATGTGGTGTTCTTAAACATATTACTCAAAAGAATTACGTAATCACTTGAATATAAATAATTAATGCCCTTATTCCTTTTACAACTTTTTGTCATCTTTTATTACAAATATAAAATAAAATATTAATGGTACATGCTTTTAAATCCTTTTTATATGGAGAGGTAGGAACACTCAGTTTAGAGTCAAACTTTTTAAGAAATCTGTACTGTCATATTTTCACGTTCTTTTTTCCAGTAATTAGTATTATCCTGAAATTCAAAGACAATATTTTCTCTCCATTTATCCAATTTTTTTTGTTACAAGAGAAGAATAAAAGCACCTATAATGGCAATTACCTGATTTCATCATCATCCCGATTTTTTTGAATTATTTCAAAATGTATGGTTCATAGACCTTGCGGCCATTGTAATCCACAAGCACCATATATAAAAAATGGAAAATGCAAAAAAAATTATCCAAAATAAAACTTCAATGGATATTCACTTTATGCAAGAAAAAATAATGGTTGAATCCCTATAAGAAGTATATATATTAAAAATATATTTTACTAATAAAATAAATATATTTAAAAAATTTTTAAAATATATTTAAAATTTTTTAAAATTTTTTAAAATATATTTAAAATCTTTTAAGTATATTTTAAGTATACACTAGATAATATTTTTAATTCGTGATCTGTGTAATAACCAAACAAATTTAACCACAAATCTATATATTTTTTGGGTTAATTAACTTATAGAATAAACAGTCGAAATGGAATCCACATATTTCTTATGTCAAAACGCAAAAAAAAATATTAAAAGCTACAATACAACTATTCTTAATGTTGGAAAAATTAATTTAGAAATACATTATGGGTCCTTTTCGCAATACTGGTGGATTCCAGCTGAAAGAAACGAAAACAATATATCACTATTAGTTCCAATACGAATAGGGATGAAAACACTTACTAAACTTAATAATTATGATTTTATTATTACTATTTTAGAACCTGATATATAAAATTTTCCTGGTCCAAGATATCAAGTAACTTGTGGATTAATAAGTAGTGAAATTTTGACAAGCTCTTCAATTGCAATTACATCTCTATATCAACAAATTTTCAATAAAAAAATAAAATTTTCAGGATCACTTGTAATGGGTTTTGATCACCAGGCTATCATAGAACAATTATTGAATGATATTCAATTTTGACCTTTTGAATTTTTTTTTTGGAACAACTTAGAATAGTAGTTATTGGAATTGGTTTATCTAAAAATCAAGAATGGAATTATATTGGGATGGGTTATCAATCATCTTTTATTTATGGTGGGAAAGGAAAAAATTTTTATATTCAAAATTTTACTAATAAAAAATGTATTTAACAGTTTATGAAAATAGCAAAATTAAAATAATTATCAATGGAAAAAATCGGTGGAAGTTTGGTCTCATGTAGATAATAAGTCAAAATTTGATGCAAATAAACTTTTTGGTATCGATAATAAATATACACAAGAATTAGTTCACAAATTGAAAATTCCATCATGTACTTCAGAAGAATGGAACAATATACCTTTATTACAAGAAATTTTTGAATATCATCTTAAAAAAAATAAAATTTAATATTAATTGAATAGAATTTATTGAAACCTGGAAAAATCAAGTAGAATTATTGAATTGCAAAATTCATTGAAACAATTATATGGATCCAAATATCAAATAAATTCACATGAATTATATGCATGGAAATCAATGCTTCGACACATGGGTTGTATAGAAATTACACCTTACAATAAAAATCAATCTGAGGTAAGACAGTGTTTATATTTATTTATATTTATTTTATATTTATTTTATATTTATTTTATATTTATTCATATTTATTTTATATTTATTTATTTACTTTATATTTATTCTACATTTATTTTATTTATTTTTATTTATTTCTATTGCACAAGAAATATTATTGTAATATTAAAAGTTTATTTATTTGTTCAAACAAATTTATTTTTATAGTTTGAATTTTGGACACGGTCATTAGATTCAGATAAAGATTGTGAAACATTACAAAATTTATATAATTTTAGTTTTATTCAACCAATACCTAATCAGTTTTGTAATCAAACTAAAGTTTTTTGGAACTGCATTCGGGAATCATTAAATGCAAATAAACGAGGACAAAATGAAAGGAGACGTATTTTATCTATTATTGCAAATCAATTTACTTATGATGAAATAAAAAAAAATTTGAATGTAAGTTTATATTACATATATAATAACATTGAAATAATTAGTAATTGATTATTTTTATTGTTAGATTGCTTCATCAGACACAATCAATGAAGCATGCCGGTATGCAAGACTTTATGGGCCAGGTACTGAATGTATAGAAAAACCTGTTTTAACACGAAATAAAATTTCTCAAGAAAGACTTGATTAATTATAACAATTTTTGAATGATAAAAATAATATTGTAATGAGCAGTTATAAAACTGAAACCAAAACTGGACTTCCAGTAAAATATCTCAAAGATACAAAAGAATCTTTATGGGAAAAGTTCAGCAATCAATTTCCAGATGGCATTAAACGAGCAACTTTTTTTTACATTTTTAAAAGGTAAACAATATATTTATCGAAAAGATTTAGGTGACATTTGTTCTATTTGCAGTCATTATGGCTATGAAATTTTTGCAGAAATGAAATAATTTATTGAAACAAATATTCAAAATTATAATTCTCAAGTAAGTAATCTTTTATATTTTTATTTATAAAAATAAAAATTGATTTGATTTGATTGATTTACTTATATTTATTTATATTCAAATAATATAAAAAAAAACTATATCAATGAAATTGACAGTTTGATGCCGCAGAATATGCAGAATTTAATCTTCTGAGCGTAATATTATTTGTACTAAATTCATTTTGTAACGCAAGACATTCATCATGCTCAGCAGATTATTAAGCATCAACTATTTCTATTTATAACTTGCATGGCATGATACTCAAATGGGAATTTCGAAACAGTTAATGGAATCTCGTATTTTGAAATCTTTCAAAATCAAAATTGAATTGGACAGAGATACAGTAATTCCAAAATAATAGGTGAAATTGTTAGACTCAACAAACGTTAATATAAATATTTTGCAATAAACAATTTATACACGTGCAAAATTTCACACGACCGCCGAATTTAATCTGCTGGATTGGGTGAACACACACACAATGTACTTAAATATTAAGATTCCGAGATATGCAAGATTAGAAGAATACACACACCAAGAGGTTAAAAACTTAGTCCGAAGTTCAAATTTGATTTATATTAAATTAAATAACGAGAACAAAAATCCTATTTTTTAAACTAACAATGTATTTAAGAAAATATGTATTACAATATTGCAGTATTAAGCAATACTATTTACGGGACTGAAGCATTGAAGCATTGGGTGCATTTAGTGAAGGAATGCACTTATTGAGGGTGCGTTTATAGAGAGTTGACTTTATTTGGCTAAAGCCAAACTTCCAATAATAGTTTCTTTCAAAATAAAATAGTGATATACAATGTTTATGAATGATAATAGTTTGTATTATTTGTTTAACGCTACATAAAACTCGGCAGATTAATTAACATCAAAAGTAGCTTATACTTACTAAGAGTAACCTTAGATAACAACGATATGTTGAATATAATATTTTACTCAAAATAATGATTGAGCGTAATCTCACATATTTAATATGTTTAAAGAAGACAAAAGTCAGATGCAGAAGGCGTAATTAGATCCATTACAATTGTAAAAGGTTTGAGATGGTGCTAAACTATTTATATTAATTAATCTGCTGAGTAAAACTTTGTATTTAATATTGCATAAATCGGACTCCGGCTTTGAAACACGATTGCATCAATTTCGGCAATATTCAAACATCTAAATCCTAAATCAAACGTGCAGCATCTAAAACAGTTGCATGCATGCAATATCGAAAATGGATAAATTAAAAGATAAAGGCTTTAATATTGCCCAAAGAAGTTGTTATCATGTCCATGTAAGATATCCAAAAACAGTTAATACAACCTATTTTGGATGAATCTCTAAGGGAGAGAAATATACGCAATTATTTTTAAATGAGTTACTCTGCTCTGCATGACTTGTACATATATTCTATAATTTATATGCTTTTCGAAATATAAATACTGTCTTTGGCCAACCTTTCTTCTCGAAAAAAATAACCATGAACAGTTGAATTCTTTTAATTCAGAATTTACATCATGAACAGTTAAATCATTAACGAATTATTTGACATTTTCTATGTAGGAGGAAGCAATATTCTTATTAGTTTTAAATATATAGTATTCAAAAATTTCTTTGAGAAGACGATTGGATAAACAAATCTTGGAAATAATTGATGAAATACTTGAAGATGGGAGGGTATGAATCCATTTCATTATAAATCTCGAACGCTTAATTTTGTACTTATTTATTAACTAATATTTCTAGAAATATTAGAATGCGATATTTTATTTCATGGAATTCGAAGTTTGGTTGTGTAGAATTAAATATGTGATGATTGATATGATAATTTGCAAACAAAGCTTGAGGGGATAGGAAAGGTAAAATTTTTATTTATTTTTGATTTTGATTTTTTATTTCTTCACTGACTTTATCTTTTAATATTTAATGAGTAAACCATGTCATCTAGTAAAATAAATCTGGTAAGTAAATACAGCTTATAATTAAATATATTTAAATAAAAGAATTCATTGTTCATGGTTTTATTTAATTAAGAATTCATCGTTAGTTATTATAATTTTGCAAGAATCAAATTCAATTATTATCTTTCGAATTGATTAATGTAACATACTAATTTAAAAATGAAATTTCAGTTCTCGTGTTTTTAATTTAATAAAGAATTCAAATTTGACTTTCATAACTTCCATAAGTAATTTTTTTATTATGTTATTTACAGTGTGGGACAAAAATCAAAATATCGGTCATATCATTCATTTATTATAATAAATCACATGATTTTTTATTTTAAAGCCAAAGACCAGACAATTTTATTAAAAAAAAAAAAAAATTAATATGGTATCCGTTCACCATTTTTTTTCAATAATTAACTCACAATGTCGTTTCATTGACTTTGAAAGATTGATTAGAACGGTATTTGGAATATTTTGCTACTCTTCTATCATAAATTTCTCCAGATCATTAAGATTTTTTGGCATCCACTTCTCTACCTTACTCTTGATAATTGACCACAAATTTTCGATAGGATTTAAGTCGGGGCTATTGGATGGCCACTCTAAAACTACTGGGAAATTTTCTTGGAGGAAGGCCCTTGCAAGACGACTTGTATGCTTGGGATCGTTGTCCTGCTGGAAGCGCCAACGATCACCAAGCATTTGGTACATCTCAGGAGCATGTCTACGAAGAATTTCCACATAAAACTCAGCATTCATGATTTGTTTGAAGCAAAATAAGCTTGTTTTTTCCCTTTGCACTAAAACCGCCCCACGCCATAATTTTTGTACGATCTTTAGGCATACGCCAAACTGGCCTCTCCCTTTATATCAACGTTCTACAGTATTCCTGAATAGCTGGAATGCTGTTTCGTCCGTAAATATAGTTTTATTCCATCGGTCATTAATATGTTGCTGTGCCCACTCTACCCGTTTTATTTTGGCATTATTGATATCTTCATAAAAAAAGCTTTATACGTTTGAGTGTCTTGATAACTAACCCACGATTCGTATAATCTTACACATCCAATAGGAACTGTGATAAACTTTTGGGATTTTGTTGTAAGATAAATATTCGTGCGCATGTCACCAGTTAAAAGTCTGTTAAAGAAAAATATATCTTTTAAATATATGCAATTGATTAAATAAAATAAATAAATTAACCTATTAAAAAAAAATTTTGAACAAACCTTCAGGAACTGTTCCCGACCAATCCATCACAAAACCTTCAATACTATGACTTTCAATGGTATAAAGTGGTTTCAATGCTTTTTGTGAAATTTGAAAACCAGAAGTGTCTAATGCTTTTATTAATGGACCTAAATCCCATATTGTATGAACTTTTTTATTAAATTATTTTAGCTGAAATTATATAAAATTTTAGGCCAAAATTAGTAAATTTGGTCCGTCTGCATCGATCTGCGTCATTAGACTTAATCTCGAATGTGCTGCTCATAACATTGGCAATAGTTTGAAAGTGAAAATGAAAATTCCTTTTCTACAGATATAGATAGCGAAAGCGAAGTTAATAACATAAATTTTAGCTTTGAAATAGGTGCCTGTTTATAAAAGATCATAAGTTATCACTTTTTATACGTTGTTATTTTATAAGTAATTCATTTTTCGAGAGATACTTATGAAAACTGGAATCTAACTGAAAAGCATATTGAGAAGTATGCTACAGAAATTGGGTCTGTAATTATAAAATGCAAGCATTCACACAAATATCAACCAAGAAAAAAAGCAAATATTGAAAATAATTGTGAACGTGAATGTACAATAGTGGGATGTTCATAGAAAATTAATCTTTACCGTTCTGGTAATACTATACGTGTTACAACCATCCATTACTTAAAAATATTATATGTAAATATGACACCAAAGTTTCGTCGGCTCAATCCAGAATGAATTTTTGGTTGTGGTACAGGTCCAATTATTCGTGATCTTTTGAAACACTTTCCTGATGCAATAATTCATCCAAAAAATATTTCCAATGAAATTTGTTCTTTGCGACGTAATAAAAAGGTAACATATCAAAAATTAATGCATCTTTAACGTGAAAAACATGGTAGGTTTGTTGAGACAAGATTGGAGGGAGAGAAATAACCACCTTACTGGTATTTTTTGGATAAGACAATCACAAATAGAGTTATGGCAAAGTTTCACGATGTTGCAATTAATGACAATACGGCACAAACAAATAAATATAATATTCTGAAAATGGTAATGTCAACAGAATTTGTAGCCACAAATTCAAAGCGTTCTAAAGGTAGATCTAACAACTCAGCGAAGAATAAAGGTTTTCACACTCCATCGACCTCAAACGATTGCTTTATATTGCTTTATTTATCTTCGCTAACCTCACTCTCGAGTTAAAGAAATAATATTCACGACAATATTATTTCGTCGATGTTCTTGGCCAAATCAGCGGGCGATTACCCTTTGGTCTCACTCAATTACCCGATTTTTACCCGTATAATGACAGTTGAACACACTCATTAACACCGACTACCTCAACGCTTCTGACAATTAGGGTTTTTGTGCTGACCGCGAACGATAATTTTTATTATTAGCTCGCTCACGATATTTTCACGTAAGACTTTATAATAAATATTCTCATTATCGTTTCTTTAACTGACCGCGATATAAAATCAACAAAATGTCACATTTCGGATCGAAAGACCAAAAAAATGAGCTGAAAAATACGTTTGTTTATTAGATTAATTCTTTTTCGTAACACATATTCGTTGAAAAAAGAAGGAAAAAATGTCATCCGTTCAATAATTAAAAATCTTATTCTATTTAATTAAACAAATTCACCGACAAACGCTTTTTTAAACAAATATACTTACAAGTTTAAACGTTTTCGTTTCGTTTGTTTTCAAATAAGTGTTTTCTTTCTACTCAGGGTGGATTACCTTTCGGTTATATTATGAAATTTATTCGTTCAAACGAAGCATTCTATTAACGAATTAATGAAATTTATTCGCTTGAATGAAGCATTCTCTAACGTCCTCCACTTCACTGTTTCCTTTTACCAGAAGAGCAGCCTTTTCGAGAAGAAAGCATTTATTTGAAAACAAATGAAACGAAAATATTGGTAGAAAATTCGAAACTGATTAACTGTTGCGGAAAAGGAGTTGTATATATAATTTTTGGTGAAAACAGGAAAGTAGTTTAACATTTACATTAAAATTGTTACTCAAATTTAAATTGAATCAACGCCCATCTGCATATTTTTAATGTATTGCGCCCAACATAAATCAACTCTTGACGAAATGTTAAAAATTGATATTCGAAGGGTGTGACATTACCCCTGATTCTAACTTCTGCGCGAGATTAAAAGTCTTTGTTCAGCTACGCGATCTTTATGAAAACTGTTACTAAAATTGAAACTTGATAGTCTAGATAATAACATTTTATTGCTCAAAAAATTCATTATGGCATGATATAATAGAATTAAAACATTCATAATATCTTCGGGATATATTAAATAAAATAATACAATATTCAATAATAAGTTCTCAGAAGAAAAATTATGAACAAATCCAATTACCTCTTTTAAAAACTCATGATCAAGGATGGAGCCACCATCGTGTATTTTGGGTTCTACTTTATTTTTGATTTCTTATTGTGTTGAGCTAAAAAGTAATTTAACAATACTAGAAGAATACAATATATTATGCCTTTGTATTGTATAATGTTTTTAGTCAGTTAGTAAAATTCCAGATGACAGATGACGACGTAGTCTGCTGACTAAAACAGTTGAGTCAACTAAAAGAGAGAATAAAGAAAATAAATAGTTTCTTTCCTTGACACCTACAATATTGGCATGCAATGTTGTAAATGGAAAATAGAATAGAATATTTGGTCAAGAAATTTAAATCATCTTATTATCAAACCTTCATTTAAGATTATGCTTTATTCTTTATGGTAAAGCCTCAGCCATCCATATTGACAATGCTAACTACTTTTTCTCATATTATTTAGATATAAAAGATTATACTTTAAAGTTCTCGCATATCAAAAAGATAGTCCAAACTTTTGATTATCAAAAATCTGTATTGTACCCAATTAATCTGCTGAGTTTTTTGAAGAGTCAAATAATACTATTTTTATTTATGCTAATATATAATAATATATAAGTCAATATCACTGTTGATATTTCATTTTGTGTTACCAAAATTTCTATAGTGGACTGGCTACCTGTTCTTCTTTAAGTAATCACACTCTCCTTGGAATAAAGTTCATTTATTTTCGCAATATTTATATTACCAATATTTAAATGTCTCAACGAAAAAAAAGAAAAACAAATAATAATACTACTACCATTAAAGATATTCCATTTTTTCATTATTCTAAATTTGAAAATGTAAAATTAATTAATGAAAATGGTAAAAATGTTTATAAAGCTCATGTTTCTCATCAAGAAAAAACCACAGTCGAAGAAGCAACTCTTGAATATATTTCTTTGAATAATTTTATAAAAGAAGTGAGTTATCTGTTAAAAATGCTACAAAAAATTATTTTTTTATTTTTAGTATAAATTTTTTTACTATTTATTTATTTAGGTTAAAAGACATCAAAAATTGGAAATTAATGATAGCATCCTTAAATTTTATGGTATTACTAATCAAGGTAAAAATAATTAACTTTTATATAATACCTTATCATTCACTGGTCATATCGGGTACCTATTGACCGAACTATCTGGTACCCGATAGGTGTGGTATTTAGACCAGTGATTTATATATTAATTTTTAATTAATTTACAGAGAATATCAAGAATCATATGAATTTGTATATGATTGTTCTCGAATATGCAAATAATGGTTCTCTCCGTCAATATTTGAAAACAAATTTCCAAAAATTAGATTGGAATATGAAATTAAATTTGGCAAAACAAATTGCATCTGCTTTAATGAATTTACATGATAATAATATTATTCATGGAAAATTAGTAATTATTTGTTTAATTAAATTTTAATTATTTATGATTTAAATTATTTTATAATTATTTAATATTTTTTTTGACGTTCAATTAGACTTCCGAAAGTATTCTTGTTCATAACGGGGTCATTAAATTAAATGATTTTGGAATAAACTATTTAAAATCCCTTACTACTGTTACTATCCCTATTCAATATATTGATTTTAGATATTTTGAATTATTTAATAAAAGTATAGATATTTACAGTTTAGGAATTATTCTTTGGGAAATTTCTAATGATGGTATTTCTCTTTTTGAAAATGAAGCAATAACAAATTCATTATTACTATCGTCAACTGCCATATCTAGTTGCGGTTTCGGGGTACGTTTGGGCATTCTCCTCAAACTGTTTCGTGATTCTTATTGCGGTTTCCAGCGTAGAGTTTTCTTGGGACAAGATGAGTGGCCGTGCTTGGTAAGTGACATCCTTTCGCAACCCTTTCAGGAAGTACCAGACTTTTTCATTCTTGCTTTACTAGTTTTCGTCATCAATTCTCTTAATTAGTTTTCTAACGTTGCTAGCATATCGTTCTACAGTCTCGTTTAGTTTCTGCACCTTCATCTGCAACTCGTATCTCCACTGGTTTATTTCCTTACCCCCTTTTGCCGTAGTAATCAAACACATCTTTCCCTTCTTCCAAGATGAAACACAAGGATGAAAAAGATATCGTACGAGGGTGAGTAATCTGTCATCCTGGATGATAACACACTCATCCAGGTGTCACCGTCATCCTAACATTATCTCCTGTGACTTTAGTACTTACTGTAATCCTCGTACAACATTCCTCATGACGTTCGTGCCACCTCACTATTAAATACCACGATCGTTTGAATCTTATTATTAAATAATTTCGTCAACTATTTCGGACATTGGCTAAAGTAATTCAATAATTATATTAAAAATGAGAGACCCTGATATAATTTCAACTTCATACCAGGAAAGAAAACAGCTTTTGTTGGTAAGGTAGCTGGTCCATCAAAATTTCTAGCTATTTAAAAAATTGAATGGATTTGAATAAGTTTAGATAAGTAGGTAATTTTGTAATAAATTAAAAAATTAAAAAATAATCGTTAATTCAAGACAATAAGTACTATGTGAGTCTGCCGCCAAAAGAAATTCTTTAATTTCATCCATGGTGGGATTAGCATCCCATATCTAATATTAAATAAACATTAAATAAATGATTATCTAAGTATGTTTTTCAATTCAACAATGAATATAATTTTATTATTATTATATTACCAAATTCGAGATTTTCGTATCTCTCTCGGTATATCCACTTTCAAAATCTTTAACAGTTGCATTTGCGGGTTTCTTTCTCTTCGATATATTGATTTATCCTGTTCCTTTATCGTCAGCACGAGGAACGCATCTGATTTTCACTTCATTTGAATTTGTTCATATACCCAAGCAATCTAATATAATTTATTATGAGTTAAAAAATATTCATTTGTGTTTATTATAAATAATTGTTGTAAGAAAAAAAAATTATGATAATACCTGAACAATATCTCCAGCATATTTTCCTTTTCTGACTCTAGCCCATGATCCTTCTTTAGGTCCCTTTTCTTTCCTTTTTCTAGTTAAAACTTGAGATCTTTCTTCTAATGGTACAAGTTTTATTGCAGAATTAAATAAATTATTCATGTTTTGAACAGCCTATTAAATTAGAAGTAACAAAATTAGATTTATAAAATTTTTTTATTTTTTAAAAGAGAAATAAATTATATTAATAAATTAAGTCATACCTTTTGTAGGTGTGCTAATTTCCAGGCTTCAACATACACACATCCTTTTAGTGCATCTCTACAAGTAACGGATAAAATGTCAATAGGATGTTATGAATATTGACTTTCTTTAAATTGCTTCATAAATTGAAGAACAACATCTTTCTCTTTCCCTAACTTTAATTAAAATAAGTTAAATTAATAAAATTAATTAAATTAAATTAATCAATTAAATATGATGCTTACTTTACAACGAACAACGAATAAGTTTGGTTGATTTACTCCTGCAGTGAATTGCGTAGGTATAGTAGACTTTATTTGACTAATTTGATCACGACGACGTCCATAGCGTTGAATCATCTTTAAAGCTAACTCTTCAGAATCAAGATTTTCTGCCTCTAGAGCTTGACGATCAAGTTCCATTGCCAATCTTCTTGTATCTCTGGTTGAACCTCTTACTTCTCCACTATCATCCTCCGGACTAACAATAAATTCTATTGATAATAGAAATATTAAAATGATGTTCGAGAGATATGTGTAAAGCATCTTATTATTAAATAAAGGTCAAAAAAGCTATTACGTTGAGACATCATAAATTCTTCTTCTTCCTCTTCTTCCTCGTCAAAATCCTCCACTTCTTATCTTTGATCTAAATCCTGAGATTCTTCTTCTCCAGCGCTCCAACCACCGTATGTTTCGATACGACTTTCTTCGTCATCGGAAGATACTCTATTGTGAAGGGATTGCGCATAATCTCGTAAAGAAGATTTTTTCATATTCAGAGCAAGTTAAAACAAAAATGAAAAATTATTATTTCATTATTACTTAGATATTTATAATCTAGGAACGGATTGAACCTTTATTATATATACTCCGGACGGTATTTACTGTACAAATACCGTTTTCACCTGGATATCCGGTTTTAAAGTCATCCAATCCTTAAGTGCGATAATAATAATTAAATTTATACTCAGAAGATTCAATATGAGATCATCGTATTGTTATCTGTATTATTTGAAATGAGTAATCGGTTATTAATTCATCTATTTCTTAAACATAAATTATTGTTTTCCAATTTGATCGAATAATATGGATCTTTTAGCATACCTTCTGTTTGTTGTAAAAACGTGATAATACAAAGTTTTCTTTATATTAAAGTTTAAGTGCCAATTTTTGAAAAAGATAGTTAATCATGGGAGGTTTTGATGTATTGAAATCTACTTGTTAATTACTAAATGTATTGTTCACTAAACCCGAAAGTTTCTTTATTGTGTTATATAATATTCCATTTTTAATCAGGTTTCATTGGCAAAAAGGAAAAAGAAGATCACTTGTTTTGATCTTGAATATTTCCAAATTGATAGAATAATTATTTGGTATTTGAATTAATTTCTAAAGCCAATAATGATTTGAGAATGGGAGTTTTTCTTTAAATTAATACATTTTTGTTATTCATTGGTTCACATTTGTATATTTAATTCGCATATGTCGTGTCGTTTGCATATTTGTATGCGAAAGGATTGAGAATAATATCAATTTACATATTGATGAAATTACTTAAATTTCTGCAAGATGATTATTCCACTTTAAATAATTGCCTCACTGTAAATAAACTGATTTGTTCATTAGCCGTTCATTATCTTTGGTCAAATCCGTTTTCAAAAATTTTCAAAAAATGCACACATACAAGTCTCACAATATACTTAATTTTCAATTTACAATTTGTATTGGACCTGTTTTAACGACGACATATTTCATTGACACATGAAAAATTTATCCGAACGTTTAATTAAAGATACAAATAGAATATAGAAAAGTAAAACAATGTTGGACACGAAATTGGTTTAAATTATTTTTTAGGAAAAATTTTCGGATCCAATTTTTTTTTGAGTCAATAAGAATACAATAAATTGAGATATCCAAATTAGAAATCAATGAAATTTTTATCACTTGATACAATTATTTAAATGAGATCTGCAAAATATCAATTAATCCGTAATGTAATTTACTATAAATGGGATGTCCATATTCGGAATTGCATTTGAGCCAAAAATAAGGATTTTAATTCAGTCATTATTATAGAATATGAATTGCTCTTACAAGAAAATGCTTCACTATTAAGAAATATTTCACATTCTTTATTCAAATACTATTTGAAAACCGTTCTATTATTTAAGCAGCCTTAATTGAATTAAAGATTCATAATTGTGCTGCAGGCAGATCTTAGACGGATCACCGCTTAAAATATCAGATATATAGTGTCACGTATTTATAAAATAACAAAATCATGTGAACATCGAATAATTAGTTGAAAAATGATTTATGATTCTTTTAATTGTCGCCTCTTGTATTATTTTAGCTTTGCGTGCGAAATTTTCCTTGTCATCCATTTTCGGAATTTACCTTTTGTGTAATATTAAACTGGTTTAAATAATCCATGCTAAAAATAAATTGGGTATATTTTTTTTAAAAAAAATTTCATAATGGATGAGGATAATTGTTTTGAGTGTGGTAAAGAGTACATTGGTTTTACTTGGTGCTATCCCTGTCAGAACAAGCGCTTCGAAAAAGAATTCGGAAACTGGACAAGTGGGAATAAAGTAATTGACAAGTTCCTTCAGAAAACTCAATCTGAGGCAAAAGAGATTGACGAACTTCTTGAATGGATTCCTTATCAAGAGTTTAAGGATGTAAAATATTTAACGAGAGGAGGGTTTAGTAAAGTTTACAAGGCAATTTGGATAGATGGTCCCAAATCGTATTGGGATGGAACCGATTGGGTAAAATCGAATAACGGATTCATTGCCCTTAAAAGTTTAGGCTTTTCTCAAGAAATTAACGATGACTTTTTTGCAGAGGTGAGCTAATAATATATTATGACAATAGGTTAGGTATAACATGATACTTTACTTATTAATTTCTATTATAGATTAAGAGATATGCTGAATGTAATGTAAAGTCGAATTTTTCATCTTTCGTTGATTTATGGTAACTATTAACCTTGTCTAATCCAATTCGCTATATGCAGTAATGATAAAAAATCGAGGAGTTGATCATCGCATTCTCCAATATTATGGTATTGCACAAAATCCGGAAACTAAAGAATATTTAATGGTGATAGAATATGCAACCCACGGTTCTTTACATAATTTTCTAAGTAATTTAAGTAATTCAGGCAAAGAATTATTGTGGAAAAGAAAAATTGATCTTTTATATAATATTTCCAGTGGTCTTGAATCAGTTCATTTAGCAGGTTTGATTCATGGAGAT